AGGCCGCGACGCTTGCCTTGCTTTCTGGAGTCTCCATTGTTTGTGGTTGACGGAGCCTGGTGGGTGGGCGCACTGATTGGTGAGGGAGAGCTGGCCGCATAATAAGCGACCACATTCACACACTAGCCGCACTAGCTGCTTACATAATACAGGCCTGCACTTGGGTATGGTCAGATGATCAGGTTATTCTTCTCAAAACAGGATTCTATTTTGGCCACCAAGGAAAGTGAGAGCAAGGCAAGGCTGCCTGCCTTTTATACTTGGGCTTCAAGAAAAGTGGGGCCCCAGAGTGTCCCCAATCATGTATTGGGCTGGGCCTCTTGCTTCTGAAACCAGGGATCTCAGCTATTGTTCAATGTTGCAGCTCAGACCTATATCCATTCATCTATTGGCCATAAGCCACACATGACAAGCATGAGCCATGCTCTAGCCTCTGGGTGTCAACAATCTTATTTGGTTGATTGACAGCCGAGTGGCGTTGAGTGAACGCGAAAAATCGCTCTCGCTTCTGCATGTCCACTGGTGGTCTTGTCACACAAGCACTGACCTCAAGTGTACACACGGGCGAGACTCTGGCATAGCAACCCCAAGTGTATGTTTAATCGAGTTCTCATGTTATGACTTGTAATCGATCATGCCTTCCTTTACCACCTTCCGCAGTTGAGCTGCTGCGCGACCCAGCTCTCCACCCCCTTTCGTCGCCTGTTCCAGCCCAGCAACAACTGCTGCTTCTGCCCGGCCGTGGAATAAACGCTGCCTGTCTTCCCGATCCTCGTACATCTCTGCATCTTCATCCCTAGGTGCACCAAAAAGGTTCAGATGTGCATAGACGTTTGATCTCTCCGACAGCATGTGCTGTTCTGTCTGCCACAAAGGGAAAGCGTCGGCTCCATTTCCAACCGTCGCCGCAGTGTGTGAATGCAACAGTCCGACTCTAAGAAACGATGTGAGCGCATTCATCTGCTTGACCTGGACTTTACTGTCCCCGGATGATTTGCCAAAGGATTTTGGTGCTGTCCACTTGCTGGATGTCTCTACTTTCCAGCCCAACAAGCTCAAGAAGCACTTCAGGGTCTTGACCCAACCACCAGCGCAGCCCACAACTTCATCACCGGCCGCAGCAAGTAACCACTCGAGAACGTCCAGCGCAAAGGTGCGGATGTCAGTGGAGAGGTGCGTCATCCCAGCTCTGGTGTGTAGTAGTAGCTGGTCGGTATGACTCGCAATGTCATTTTTGGGTAGACTCTGAAGGAGCTTCAAAAGCTGCTGTCGGACAGCATTCGATCCGTCGAGTATCAGCCGCTGAACTGTAGGTATGATGACTGATGGCGGTTGAGGGAGGGGGGTGTTTGGAGGATGAGTGGAGATAATTGTCGTCAAGTAGGCCAAGGAGTCTCGCCGCTGCGTATCCGACTTATGATTGAGTAGGCCCAGATGATGCGCGCACTGAGCTTCCACAGTCGGTGCGTTCGTCGAGAGCGTCTGCTGCTTCAGCGCAATTGCTGAGACATGATCAGTAAATAAAACTCGTCATAGAATCGCATTGATTCAACAGGTACGCAATATGATATATATTTGAACTTACCCTTGGCTTTGAAGCTGGTGTTGGTTGAATTCGCTGCCTTCGGTTTGGCTTTGCCGACTTTCAACTTGGGTTTCTGGTCGCTTTGTTAGGCTGAATCCTCTGTGGCTTCTGTTTTATAAAGTGACTGACCTGAAAGTCCTTCTTCTTTTCCTTCCTCTTTTTCGCGCTGGAGCCCATGATGCCGCCGTTCACCCGCTATCCAAAAGTATATGCCAGTGATTGCAATGGACTGATCGCATGAATGCCGCAATGTGTATCAGGGTGATTCGGCACTTTAATTGTCCTGCTGTAAATTGTTGACCAACGCTTGCAACAGTTCGTTCACATGGGCTTTGTTCAGCGACTTTTCAAGAGATCGGCGTTCGCGCTACACTAATACTGGACTAGCGCCTTATTGTCTTGGCAATCTGAGCTGGGATCAAGCTCCAAGCCATGTGCACGCTTGCATAACACCAACCCTCAAAGCAACTCGCGAAGTTACTCCTACCATCGCTTTCTTTACTGTCATGGCGCAGAACACTGTGAGTGCCTGTACTCATCAAGAAGCTCGAGCCCAACGCTGACACCCTCAAGCCAGACGAGCATCTCGCACTCCTCACACGCCTGAGCCAGAAGCCAGGCGTACAAAGCACCCTCGTACTGTCCCGCGACACCGGAGCCATAGTGCGGACGTCCGGCCTCATATCAAAGTCTTCCGCCGCGAACCCAAACAGCACACTACCCGCCTCGAATGAGCCAGCATCGGACAATTACACGAATGGCAAGAAGGAAAGCGGGATGCAGAGCGCAGAGGATGTAGCCAGCATGGTATGGTCGTTCATCAGCGCTGCCGGGAGCTTGGTGGAAGGATTGGACAAGGAAGACGAGATCAAGCTGCTGCGGCTTAGGACAAAGAAGAACGAGCTTGTCATTGTGCCTGGTAACTATTCTCATGCCGTTGCTATGACTTATCTCACCAGGGGACAGATCCTAGATTCATTCTCGTTGTCGTACACGATACCCCGCCGGCGTGAGCAATATGCGTAGTCCATATTCTGTGAGGCTCAAAGAAGAATGCTCGAGGCTCACCAATGAGCCTCGCTGATCTCCACCGTGTTCACATCGACGCCGTTAGCGAACCAGCGCTCTACCACGGTTTCAGACACTGCCCAAGTCACTTCGAGATACACATTCTACTCACCTGATTCGCTGATCTCGACATCGTTCCCGCTCATCTGCCTCTTTCGCATCTTACCGTCGTCTGCGAACGTCCAATCCTCGAGACCATAACACCGCTTCCACTTCATTCCGTCGTGCGAATCTTGATACTCGTACCAGAATTGGACGGCGATCTTGTTTTCGTTGAAGGCGAACAGCTCCTTGCGCAGGCGGTAGCTCTTCTCTTTCTCCCATTTCTTGGTGAGAAACTCCTCAATGGCAGCCGTGCCGGAGAAGAAGAATGAGCGGTTTCTCCAGATACTATCAGGTGTATACGCTTTGGCGATCGTCTTTGGGTCCCTGCTTCTGTGAGCTCGCGAACGATCGAGGGGCTGTGGATGGTTTACTGGGTGTTCCACAGGTCTTGGGCCTTCTTGACCTTTGCTCGGGCGGACTCTTCGGTGAAAGGAGGGGCTAGAGACATATCTTTGAGAGCTTCGGGGGTGCAGTGGGGCTGAACTATGGTGGGTGAACTAGCTACACATTTATATATTAAGAAAGGCAGCACCAGTCAGAATGGATAAGGCTGTGAACTCTCATTCGAAATCACTGGTCTAGATCTGTCTCACCGCATGGGCATGACCTAAACATGCCGTGAGCAGCTCCCTCCACGCTCATCCACCATGCCGTCGGCATCGAGCGGCCCGATATCGTACCACAAGGGTGGCCACATACAGATGATTTTCAATCACGTGTGCGCTACATTCCCGTCCGACCGTACATGTATTCTGATGTGCGGTCGCCTTCCACAAACCGCACCAGGACGCGACAACAACTATTTGGAATTGCAGAAAAACGCACAGACATCTGCGTTGGTAAGCCAGGCAATCTGGGTTACTGAATTGGAATTATCTAGGTTCATTGGACATTTCGGTGCTCGCTAAATGACGCAATACCCCGCCGGACCTGTGAAGCTATGTGAAGCTCGGTCGGTGCTCTTCCAAATAATGCGCCGGTCTCACACCTAAAAGGTATTTACTGCGCCTTACTTCTACCTGAGGGTCCTCTCTCTTCGTCTTCAAACAATTGTCATTACTTCAAATACTCTCATACATACAATGGCACCTCTCAAAGTTGGCGATTCTCTCCCTCAGGGAGTCAAGTTCGAGTATGTTTGTGCCCCACCCTCGGCGAGCTCGGAAGGAGCTTAAGCTACCGCAGATGGCTTTGCAAAGTGAAAACTTGCGCTGATTGAGACACTTACGCAGATGGGCTCCTATCACCGACTCTGATCCGACGGTATGTGGCCTGCCACAAGAGTACGATGCGAACAAGGAGTGGGCGGGCAAGAAGGTCGTTCTCTTCTCAGTTCCCGGTACGCCACTCTTCTCTTCCATTTTTTGACACGATCCAGATAGCTGACAAAATATGGATAGGGGCCTTCACTCCCGGCTGCCAGGCTCGTCACCTCCCCCCGTACATCGAGAAGCTCAGCGAGTTCAAGAGCAAAGGCGTGGACGTCGTTGCTGTCATCGCGAGCAACGACTCATGGGTCATGAATGCTTGGGGAAAGGTCAATGGTGTGAAGGGTGACGATATTGTAGGACGAGGAGCTTCTTGAGCATGAGGTTTGGTGCTAACAGCTTGGAACAGCTCTTCCTCTCCGACACCAAGACTTTTTTCTCCAAGGAGCACGGCTGGCAGGCTGGTATGGGCGATCGCAAGTAAGTCGCACAGAATAATGGAAGATTTCGACAGGTGCTAATGGAAGTGCAGTGGTCGCTGGGCCATGGTCTTCGGCAAGGATGGCAAAGTCATCTATGCTGAGAATGAGAAGAGCCCTGGTGAGGTCTCAGTCTCTGGTGCTGAGGCGGTTCTTGCGAAGCTGTAGAGGAGCTCTGTGTATGATTGCTCGGTATCATGCACAGACATGAATAGAAATTTCTTATTGAGGACACAAATGGGAATAACTGCGCAGTCCCTCGGAACTTTGAAGCAGACGATTAGCATTTCACGTGAATACGTCGACGGGAGCTTCCTCCACATGATGTCTACCCAGATACTCAAAATGAAATGAAATTAAATACGGATTGGCTGAAGCTTAGAACTTTGTTAAAATACCATGGGGTGCCAGATGGGGTTCAAGATTGTGTATTGTGTAAGTAGTCCTGGTGGTCCACATACCGGCGGCGCACTCAACCATATGTGCACGGACCTGTGGTGCAAAAAACATTTCTCTTCAACACCTAAGAACCACGCAACAAAAAAACTGAATGAGCTCTCTGACGGGGAATCGAACCCCGGTCTCCCGCGCTTGTTAAGCTATGCTTTGACAAGCGGAAATCATAACCACTAGACCATCAAAGATTGAACTGAATTGATAGAGATTCTCTCATAGTAAATACATTTACTAGGTCAAGTTTTGTAGCCATCACGTAAGTGACTGTAAGCCCAGTATTATGACCTTGATTGTCCGCGTGAGGGAATTTGTGGTGGGACAGGCCCGCCTTTGACCTCACAAAGTAGAGGCCGTGGTTGCTGATGGGATGCTCAGCAAACTCTCAAGGTTTTGCGCCACAGAAGGGCACTTCAATAGCTTTCACCATCGGCCACTCTTTAATACTAAAATTGCGGTTCTATTGCACCCTTGAGATCAAGCAGAAACAGAACATGTGTGCATCATTGAGATTCGGAATAGTAATCGCTTTGTATCGCCACATTCGAGCCGCTAATTCAGGTACATCCTTAGCAGTAGATACTGGACGAGGTTCTCTCTAACACGCATATCCAGAAACAGTGAAGTCTCAGAGCCTTACGCACAATTCCACACGTCAAGAATTGTCCTCAGCTGCGCGTTGTTCGGAGAAAGGGAGCTTGGGCACAACGAACAACTTTTCTCGTGTCCGCTTAGTCAGGTTTTTCGCTAAATGGGCCGTGCCTTTACTCTTAGTTTTGCAAATCGAGCTCCAACTCTCTTCGTCACGACACCATGGACACGCTCGACAAGACGGACTGGGACGTCCTCATTGTAGGCACTGGCCTACAACACTCCCTTCTAGCTCTGTACGTCTGTTTCTCTCCGCGTCTGTTGTTCTACGCAATCTGACTGACGCAGCACCTGAAGAGCCTTGTCGCGCTCCGGCAAGAAAATCCTCCACATCGATGAGAATAATTACTACGGCGGGGCCGAAGCTGCACTTAGCCTACAGGAAGCCGAGTCGTGGGTGCATAAGGTGAATGCAGGTTTGTGTCTTTTGTCCATCTCCTAGAATGCAACTGACGTCTCGAAGGCTCCTCATCTGCTCCCTTCTCGCAAGCCACGTTCGTTAAGCCCACACCCCCCGAGACCGACCCCCCTCCACTGTCCTTGTCCGCTTCTCGGTCGTATAGCTTAGCGCTCTGCCCCCAGATCATATATTCTCGCTCGACGCTGATTCAACGGCTCATCTCGTCGAAGGTGTATCGGCAGCTCGAGTTTATGGCTGTGGGAAGCTGGTGGGTGTACTCGCCGCAAGCGGATGAGAAGGATGGCTCTAGGTCATCAAGCGAATCTCGACCCGGGAAGCTTTTGAAGGTGCCGAACGGTCGAGAAGATGTCTTCCAGAACAACGAGCTTGACTTCAAGGCCAAGCGTGCACTTATGAAGTTTCTCCGCTTCATTGCGGAGTATGAAGAGCAGACTGAAATCTGGGGTGAGCATCGCGACAAACCATTCCCTGCGTTTCTTTCGGAGCAATTCAAGGTTCCTGTCGCTCTGCACGCACCGTTACTTGCCCTCACGTTGTCAAGTGCAGCGTCCGGTAATACTACAACTGAGTATGCTCTCCCCCGGATCGCCAGACATCTACGATCTATCGGTGCCCTAGGGGCTGGTTTTGGTGGCATCATCTCAAAATGGGGTGGGTTGTCTGAGATCTGCCAAGTTGGCTGCCGGGCTTCGGCCGTTGGAGGTGCGGTATATGTCCTTGGAAAAGGATTTGGAGACAATGGTGAAGGTCTTTCAGAAGCGCAAGAAGGGTTGCCCGGTATGAAGCTTTGCTTGAAAGATGGCGAAGCTATCACGGCACGTTGGGTCGTGGGCGAAGGCTCTCCTGACCAGACCCCCGAACCGCTCTGCAGAACTATCACCATCGTTTCCTCCCCACTTACATCCTTGTTCCCGCCCATTGCCGACGAGGCGCCTCCGCCTGCCGCAGCCATGGTCTATTTTCCATCTGGGTCGCTGTCTCTACTAGATCATGACGAAGATGATCAAGAACTTCCTCCTGTTCACGTCAGTATCCACACTAGTGACTCTGGAGAGTGTCCGCGTGGGCAAAGTAAGTCTATCCCTCCGTTTATCCCTTCTGTGCCATTATGATGATTGATTTTACGAATACTTATCTACATTGTCTGAATTTTTTTGACGACATATATCCTCTGACAACCTGATATTGGCTATCTCTACCTATTGTCTTATCCGCGCTTCTAGATCTACAGACCACTGACTTGAGAATTAGGCGTCATTTACGGATCTACGTGCCTACCCGGTGAGACGGGTTTTCAGCTCCTTGAGCTTGCAACGAAGTCACTACTATTGAGTGTGGATGATACACCTTCACCGACAGTACTCTGCTCCATTCGATACGAACAACGAGCAGTCGCGACGACAGTGACGCCTGCTGAAGGGTCCAACCACCATGTGATCAACTTTTCTCCAACACCTCTCGATCTCGCCTTCGATGACTCCGTTCTTGATCGTGTCCAAGATGCCTGGCAGAGGATTATGGGTGACGAGGCTGACGAATTTCTGGTCTTCGAAGATCGCGAGGCCTACACGGACGATGATGAATAAATAACTGTTACGATTAGTCGATGTTTGAAGCTTCCTCGATGGCCTTGTCACCATAGTTTTCGGCTTTGAAAGTTTATGGTTCCCCGTTATGAAACTTGACTATTAGATCCTGTAATGAAGACCAATATACCCTCAACGCGCCTTGTGAAAACAAATATCCCACTGTGCCTCGGGTATATACCACTAACGCCAAATTTCTCAACCCCTCCTTGCCGTTACTTCAAGCACTCGACTTCGCTCTCTTCTCAGATTCCGCCTTCAGCTCCTGGTTCAAGCCCTCGAAATTGGTCTTGGTTTGCGTTCCTCCGCTCGACCCATCTCTCACAAACCACGAAAGCGGACCAGTGAAATTCTCCTGCTGCACGAACGTAGTGCCTCCGGGAGTGACGGAACTCTTCTTCCAGTAGAACTCGTGTTGTCCGTCAAATAGGCCGTAGAGACTTCCGAGCCACTTAAACGCGCCAGGTGAGTTTTCCTTGACCACCTATCAGCCACGGCGATCGGGTGAGAGAGGATGAATACATACCACGACCACCGGTCGGAATACGGTGCCTTTCAAATCGACCTTTATCTTGTCGCCTGGTTGCAGATCTGCGGGTGCGCGATCCGAGGGCTCAAGAGGCGTGAGCGCCATACGCTGGTTCCATGTTTTGAAGTTTTGCCAGTCCATGAACTGCGAATCCGTCAGCAAGGTGGCGCGGAATGATGGGTGTGGATGAACTTACTACTGCCCTGACGGTTTCAGGCGGGCTTGCGATCTCGATTGTGGTTGATATGGAGTGTTTTTGGCCCATGATTGCGACTTTGTTGACGAGTGACGGTTGTGTGTTGATGGGAATGTAGTGGATGTTGGTTCTGTTTTGAAAACGACGACAGCACGTTGAGTTATATAGTCGCAGTTTCGACTCAATCGTTATGATTTCGTTTGGTGGGATCGGGTGCTCATGGTTTCTAGGCTCCGACAGACTAGCGTCCAATCCGTATAAGGGTGAATGGCCAATCAGACAATACGCTTAGTGCACCAAGTTAGGCACCAGCAATGCAAAAGTGGCCTATTTGCCACCCAAAAAGCGTTCGTGTAATATAGTCTTTGCCCTTTTAGGCGCTTTAGTTGATTACTAATAATGCGTTGGCCTACCACCGGCCTCGATAACAGCCTCACAACGGCTCTATAACACTAGCGTGACGCTAGCGGCAACTATGCACCCGAGCCGGGGACTGTATCTCGCTCGCACGATACATGATGCTAGTTGAGCTCGCTTCGAGGCGCATGACCGTAAGCACAGATGTTGGCTGAGGCGGAGGGTCCTCTGCACGTGCTCGGGACGTGGTCGGAAGATACAGAAGCAGGCTCGGTTCCTTTATGTCGCCGAGCCCCGAACGGCCAGCCAAAGCCTCATTTTATCTAAGGTACTGTACGCCGGCCCATACTCTCCCTAAAAGCTCCGAGTCACCCCGTTGGAGCTCGCCTTCGGTCATCATCATCCACCAGGAACAAAACGAGGACTCGGCGGCTTGCGCTTCAAGTCGCGATAATGTCGCAGTGCAGCCCAGAGTCCTTCGGGCCAACGCAGACCTTTCCCTTCCGGCTTTAACTCCTCCACGGATCACACACGAAATCAAGGACGTTCAGAAACCGACGCCATGAGTGTACCGAAGCCGAGAAATCGACACACTGCGCACAGAAAAGTTCAATAGAGCCTCCTGCCCCGCACTCTATTGTGGAAACAGCAACATCTTCGAACTGAAGAGGCATTTTGGTGTTAACAGCAAGGCAGCTTTACTACAAGAAGCCGTTATTGAGGCTTCAAGAGGCGCTAACTGTGTCTACTTTGAGGGTGCACAATATCAGAGGCTTGGACTTTTAGGCTTATACCGTGCTGTATACCATGGGTCCATGCAATTGCGAGCAATTGATCCAACGAATCTTGTAACTTGTCTCTCACGCGGTACAGGTACCAAAGCATTCCCTGATTTGTAGCTTATTCTCACCAACTCGGAACTTCAGTGACAGTATTGACTTCTTGTTGGAAGCCTTTGAGAAGGCAGAGAGGCGGCACTCACCGGTTAGTCGCAAGGACAATCCCACATATTATTCTCTCGCCTTGAGCCGCCCCACAGTCCCGTGAAGCCTGCTGGATCGATAATCTGTGACTACGTTAAGTAGGGGTCGAGGTGGTTGCGGGGGAAATCGAGCTGGAGAGGGGGCTCTGGAATTATCTATGGCAGTCCGGGCATTTTGGGGGTAAGAGAGCCACTCAATCTCATCGCCATGTTGAACGGTTTCAACATTGCCTTTGCGTTTGCGCCGGCTCTCTTCCCAGGTTATATCCGCGGAGAAGTGCAAGAATGCAAGGCAGCGTATCGAAGCGGGCATGTCATGACACTCGGGTCCCCTCATCGAGGCTCCTATTCTACACTTGTAACTAACAATATACAGTTCGCAAAGCTTGTTGAGGGCGTCAACAATCCCACCGAATTCGGGCTCAGCTTCGAAATTTTCACAGTCTACGTACCAGAACCCATGCAGATC